GATCCTGGGGAGTCGCTCGCTTCCCCCTGCCCTGCCTTGGGGATGTGCTGGCAGCTGCTGTAGCCACGGAGCTGCCGTTACAGGCGACAGGGCTCCCTTGGGATCCTGTCTGCTGTAAAGCCCTGAGTCCCCCAGCTTTTTGGGGGGGTGTGCTGGTCCCCACTGGGTGAGAGAGGAGGTTGGGGTGTGGGGGTCACTGCTTCCCACCCCTCAGTTCCCAGGGCTGCCATTACCGCTTGGAGCAACACAGGGCAACTCGCAGATGCATCTGCTGCCTCCGTGCTGCCAGGGAGGCCCCCCCCCCCACAGGGTGGGTGCCTGCTGATGGGGGGGGCCCAGAGCCCCCTGCCATCAGCCTTGGGGTCGTGCTGTAGGGCAGAGCCATGGCCACACAGACCGGATCCGATGCTGCAGCTGGGGTGGAGAGCTGCTGGCAGCCTCCCCTGGAGCCGGGCCTCCGAGTGCCACGCTTGTTTGGGGACGGAGCTGCTGCCGTCCCCTCCCCACCCTCGCCTCAGCACCCCCACCCCCCGCCCCCCCAGACCCGTGAGGAGCAGGCTCCCGACAGCCACGCATCTCTTCCTTCCCTTTCCCTTGTTCTCCCCTCCTTGTCTTCCATCCCTCTCCCCCGGCCCAGGGCCAGCCCGCTGCAGCCGTCCGGGCCCGCTCCTGGTGGTGTTGTGCTCTGTCTCGCAGCTCAGAGTCGTGCGTAGAGCAGGGTTAGCCCTCGAAAGCAGAGCTAATGTCGATGTGACTTTGGTGTTAGCGGAAGGTTTCGGATTGACAGCCCTGGAGACTGAAGTCCTCTAATTTATCCACAGGACAGGTACAGCAGCGGCAGTGCGAGCTACCCCCACACCGCCCCATCCATGTGCCTCAACTCTGACTTGGAGGGACCACCTCAGGAGGTGAGAGGGGAGTTCAGTCTCCACGGCCCGTTCAATCCTTGGCCTCTCTGAGACTGCCAACAAGGGTGGCATTCCCTGTCCCCGTCCCCCAAAACCCGTCACGGTGGCTTTTGTGCTGTGGACTCCTGTCCACTTGGGAACTGGACTCTGAGCCCACCAACCTCTCCTCACGCAGGCCACCCGGCAGCCACTGCATGGCAACGAACTTGGGCCAATTCCAGCCTGGGCTGCAGTTCTTCCGGTGACCTGGAAGTGAGGCTGTGTACCCCCCTCTCCCCTGCCTCTCCTGTCCCCCCTGCCCGGCCCCCCACCTTAGCCAGCCAGGCCCCAGCCAGTGACTCGCCCTTTCTGGGTAGCTTCAGGAGGAATCTGAAGTCTGTGGCTGTCCCTTAACCTCGAGACGAGGAATTGGCAGGTCAGGCGCTCAGCCTCGTTACCCCCCGAATGCCTCTCTTTGCCTTGTCTAGCATCGGTAGCCAGCTCCAGCAGTGACCTCTAGCTTGCCCGGCGACGTTTCCTAGGCGTGCGGAGTGACGAGAGGACTCGGAGCGGGACTTTTTGGGGGGCTGCTGGGCCGGGGAAGGAGGGGCCGGGAGCTAGCAGGGCTGGCGGGCGCTGGAGACCCTCCCCTGTCGGCGAGGCGGGGGGCGCAGGGCTAGAAGCATTGTCGGACTCCACCACACCATACATCTTCATCAAGATCCCAGCCGTTCTGTTTGTCTGCCACCTTTTTTTGGGGGGGACGGCGCCATACTGTCCACTCCCTCCCTGTAACTGCCACCTAAGGCCAATTTGAGTACCTTCCCGTCTAGAAACTGCTTGGTACAGCATTATCCGTCCCCTGCCTCTCCCTGCCCCACTTCCCTTGCCCCGGAGAACTCTCCGCCTTGGCTCTCTGACTTCCTGGCTAGTTGAAATGTCTGTCCCTGGGTGGCTGTCCGATGGTTGTTAATAGGACTGTTTTCCTCCTTTTGTAGGCCTATACCATTCAAGGACAGTATGCCATTCCACAGCCAGATGTAAGTTTTTGTTTACACTTCTTGTCTTGAAATCCACCCTTCTTCCCCCTTCCAAAATTTACTCCGTGCTTTCTCGACTCGAGCTGTCAGCTTGGGCTGAAACTCGATCTGATCCGAACTCCCCCCCAAAAAACTTTGCCCTCCTGCAGCCAGCTTCACCTGGTCTCAGATCTCTCCCTTCTCCCTTCTCCCCCCCCCCCGGGGGGCGGGGGCG